GTTGTATTATCCTTCCTAGCTGGTTATATATACCATACCACACAACAAGTTGTTTTTTAAATGATTGTGTTGTTAAAGATTTAGCTATGTTTTACACAAAACAAGGTCAGTTTTGAATGAGAGATGGGACCCTCAAAATACTAAAAGTGTACAGTATTTATGGTCCTTACCGCCATTAGTCAACATATTTTACACTGTTTAATGAAATTCAGTATCATAAATCTTTCCAGATAATCTGAATTTAGTAGTTCTTTACATTTATTTTTGTTAACTCCTCTACACATCCATGAAAGAAATGTAGTAGTTTGAGAAACTGTATCTTCTTTTACCCCATTTCTATACATAATACTAAAAAACAGATACTTCCAGAAACCAATTTATTTTTCCCTACCTTGAGCTGCTATCTTTTGTCCCTTGTATCCTGTTATATAATCCATTCCAGTGGTCCTTTTCCAACTGACTTTATAAGCTGATCTTTTGTGCTATAGTTTCAAAAGCTTTTCTGAAATCCGAATTAATTCTCTTCACTGCTTCTTCTTTGTTTATCACTTCAGCACTCTCTGAACTGAAGGAACTGGAAGCATGAGCTCATATGTACGTAGAAAACTCTGACAAATTCAGTGTTTCTAAAGGTTCCACAACACAGACTCAGATTTATTTACAGAGATTCCTTATCAAGTGTATAATGTAGGTACAATCCGTAGTTTCCTTTGGTACTATATTTCGTTGCATTTTTTTCCTCAATGCTTATGTAGGCCATAAAATGGAGATTAATAAACTCTGGCAATGTTATCCACAATATCTGGGTATGTATCAACCTCCCAATACTGGGGTGCTTTCATATGCATCTAGGACTAGCCTGTAAAATCATCCAAGACCCACTATGAACCCTGAAATAGGATGGAAAGAGCAAGGGAAACATAGCCTCGTGCCTGGCAGCTGGAAGAGAGAGAGGTTTGGTTTAATGCTGCATCAAAATCTGTGCCTCAGGGAGCAATAGGTCCTTTGAGTACATGTCTGGTCAAGACTGTTTTTGAAAAAAAAGATTATATTCAGATGCCTGTTTTTCCCTAGGCTGAAATACCAGGTTAAAATAATCCTACCTTTTGTAGTGACTGGTTTTTTAATATGGTACTTCATTGGAATTCTAGGATGCAATCCACCTGGGCCTAGATGCTTATCATCTAATTATCCTTTTTTCTTCCTATATTTCAAGGATAACTATAAAATATTTTACTCCAATCTTTCCCCTGAAGGCAAAATTAACCCTATGGCTCCTATACAATCTCCTGCATCTTTCATGAGGCAAGGAATTCATTCAAGCTTGCAGCAGTTTCAGCAATATCAATATCTGCCATTCGTAAGTTAAAGAAAGTATAATAAACTGGGAAATGAGAAAATGAAATGAAGAAAACGGCAATAATGAATCTCTATTAAGGTTCCTGAACAGCAGATCTGCTTTTTAAAGAGGGATTAATGTATCATATTTTAAAAAAATAGTGTCTGAAAAACCTAAACTGAATATTTCTTTAATCCATTTGATCCTACAATAAACATGCATTTCAAATTCTGTATCAAGCTTGTCCACCATCCTTTAAAATATAAAGAACGAGAAAATACTGTGGAAGCTTCCTCTGCCACATTAACCTTTGTTCATATATACTGCTCCTATATTTTAAAACTTCTTCCATTATAGACTGTTTATATTTTATAGTCCATCCTGTGTTTTACCTATCTCAAAATATTTTCTTTCCTGCTCCCATTTTGTTCCTCATCTCTCTCTCCACTATATCTTTGTTTACCATGATTACTCCTTTAAGCAAAGCAGTAGTATGAAAATTATGACATCAGGAACTGTGTACTATGCCTCATTACCTTCATACTAAGCACCAGTGGTGAAATCACGACTCCAGCCTCCCCACTTTAGAGCAAAACCCCAAAATCAATTACTTCAATGCAGGTCAAGATTCACCAATCAGGGCTACAGACAGACTTGTAGGTCAAGCAGCAGAGGAAAGGCCCATAGACACCAGAAGAACGGGAAGAAGCCAGGATATACTGGACTTTCCAGGATGAATGTATTAAGGTACTGTACAAATTAATCTTAGTTTATTTAGTGCCTTTACAAATCAAGGTACTGCTTGATATTGTGGCCATGATTCAGCAAATGCACACAGCTGAATCTGTACAAGTATGTGTTTAATTCTCATTGATTTAAAAGTTAACTACATGCTTAATGGTCCTGTTCAGAAAGCATTTAATCATTTGCTTATGTCCACTCGTATTCAAGAAGTATGTAAATATGCTTAACACTACGTTGTTGTGCAGATTCTTTAGCTCCACTCACTCCTGGAATTTAAGCCTCTGTTTAATCATAATACGCGTGAAAACGTTTTCATGAATGTTCTCCTGAAGCAGGACCCAAGTATAAGTTACCTGTGAAATTAAGCATGTTCTTATGTGCTTTGTTGGGTCAGGTTTATGTGGCAGTATGACATCTTTAATCTTTTCTTCGTTTTTTTTCTATTTACCTTAGAAAATGGAGATACTTTAAATAAAATGATCTTAGTTTATTCACAGAAGGAACAGAGCCTGAATCCAATTCTTATTCTATAATTAGAACAAAATCATCTACAGGGAGCACTTTCATGAATTAGAAGCTTACTTTGAACAACCTTTCATCTGAAGAATGAACACAGACCTTCTGTTACAGAGCACCTCATTCTGGTTTTTTGGTTCTATTTATATTACATCTGGAATGCAGAGGATAACTAAAGACAGGGGAAATGTGGTTGTATGGGTTTGTGTGTGTAACTGTAATAGACTTTATCAAACTATTTTATGACTGCAGTTATTCCCTCTAATGATAATTGTTTTTGCCAAACTGCCAAAAAAAATCACGTAGAGATCTGAAATGTTTTCAAAGTACCAGAAAGTTTTCTTAAAAGCTCGCTTGTACTCATGACTTCCTTTGTACAGTCATGCTCAGGCCACAGGGAAAATATAATACCTTACTGATACAAGAGTAGACAAACTGCATGCTAAGATTGGACCAGCTTCCTTCGCCGGCACTGGGGAGGGAACACTATTGCTGCTAAATATGTACTAGGACTTTGTGGAGTAGCTCATTTTATTTTGGGAAGGAGTCTTTTTCTGTCATTTGGTTTTATAAGTTTGCTGTGGTATTGTTATTAAAGCCTTTCTGCTATTGATCAACTGGGTATTGTGTCAATTCTTGGGGTACTAGCTTTAAAAACCCACTTCCTAAGTGCAACAGCACCCAAGCAGCTCCCCTCCCAACATACACATATACATGCCCCCCCACACCCCTCTACAGGGCAGGGACTTGTGGGCAGTCGATTGCGGCTCTGCCCCAGGGCCTGGGCCCGCACTGTCACTGCTCCACGATCCTACCCCGTTATCCCAGCCTCACCCATCCATCCCGCTCCAAAACACTGGTCCCACCTGCAACCCCATCCCACATAGGGTGTTTTGATGAATTGTTGCCTGGGGTGGGGTGTTGACCCCACCTGCAACAACTCAACAAAACTCCCTATGTGTCCCCCAGGCCCAAATAATTGCCCCCCGGGTTACAGTCCATTCTCTTGTACAGTCTATGATGGACCTTTCTGGGTCGAGTAGTTTACCAGCCTCTGGAACAAAGCTGTCATGCATTTGCAGTAGAGCAGTTCCCCATCTCTCCTGTCTACTTATCAATGCCCAAAGTTCTCTTCATTGAGGTCTATTACTAAGGTTATATGTATCAGTATGTTACAGGTTATTTGGAGCTTTGTTTTCATCAATCAAATCACATAATTGTGTATTCATCTCTGTCTTTGGGTCTGTGGCATTCCACAACCTGTTTTACAGTCACAACTTAAAAAATTTAAGTCAATATTATTTTTTACTGAAAGTGACTAATGCATCAATTGTCTTCCACCTGCACTTAAACTGTCTATGCACTTGTACCTGGGCATTAATACATAAGTTTTCAAACTACAGAAAATATCAGAGCGCCAAAAGTAAGTAAGGCTACATTATTGCTGGGAAGCAGGTACCTGTGTCTGATTTGAATGTTGGGAAGGCAGTTAGCTACAACAACATAGAAGGGGTTTGGGATTTACTAAACATGTGTTGGTATGCAGTAATTGCCTGCTAGTTACCCCACAGTAGTTAAAAGCACAGTAGCTAGCCCTCAATGAAAGAGCAGCAACACAAGTTGATTCAAGAAATTAAAGGTTTTTGTTATGCAGCTCCTTCTTTTCTCTTCTTAAATCTACTATGCATTTTTTCAAGTAGGGAAAACCTCTGAAACACATCTCTATAAGAGATAAACCACCATGCAGCCACCCACTCTTATGAATTACACAAGATAAATAGGGTCTGTTCCAACAGACAGTGCATAGTACTGTATTCAAGATCTCAAAATAAGATTTTTCTTTTATAAGAGTCATATATGAATACACAAATGACTATTCAGAAACTGTTCAATTCTAGGAAGGCTATCTCTATTCCAGTGTCAAAAGATCTATGAAGTGCAGATGCAAAAAGAACAGAAAGCAAAATCAAAGCTGTCTTCAAAACAGACTTTTTACTCTCATGACCTAAACCATGGGACCGAAGAAACCATGATGGCACCATCACAAAAACAAATGGGGTAAGAGGAAAAGTTTTTTTTATAATACGCACATCCTGCAAATCTTCAGTTTCTATGAACATCATAGTTTAATACTGAGTAACTTCTTCAACAGAAGTCATAATACAATGCTAACTTCCTTTTTTAACAGATTTGATCCAAGATCTTTAGTAGAACTGACATTTTTTAATTTATATTTGTCATAAACATTTTACACTATCAAGTTTCAAAATGCAAGTAAATACATTACCATTTTACTAAGACAACACTATCAGGGTGTTTTATAACTACATAGAAAAAAGATTATGTAGAAATTGGTAAGGTAAATTGGTAAAACTTTCAAATAAAATACAAATCATCTTACCCGTGTATAAATATATTGAGAACAAGATATTTCTCTGCTTTTCTTTTTTCCTTGTCTCTTCTACTACAGCTCTTCTTTATGTTACTGCTTGGCCTGAAAAAATAATTTGGAATATGAGACGTTTAAATAAGTCCACAATCCTTCTCATTACATTATACTAATTGATAACCTGCTATGTCTTAGTATCACAGATGTATCTTGATATATTTGAAACAATAAATACAATGTAGCTTTAATAAAAATATATTCAAAACAGTATTTTAATATGGACTCAATTAAGGACCCCTCTACATGTGCAGGTAAAGGTGCAATGGGATCTAATGCACAATCCACACAATTGCACCTCCTGCCATGCCACATGTGCATAGTAAGAAGCATGACTGTGGGATTGCACATTAGATTCCATCACACCTTATTGCCAGTGCAGAAAGAAACCAATCCTGGGCTCCTGCTGCACCAGCAAGCTCCTACAGCTGACAGCCCACTCAGCTGAGGAGTTCCCAGCTGCGGGGGCATTTCATGCCCCCCCGAGCCTGGGAGACTCAGCTGCCATGATCTCCCAGCCCTGGTGGTGTGTGAATACCTTGGTGCCGAGAGGTCCTAGTTACCGTGGTCTCCCAGGTTTGTGGTGCGTGAAAATCCCAAGGATGGGATATGGTGGCAGCTGGTTCTGACACTGGGTGGCATGCTAACACAAACCAGCATCTGCCTTAGTTGTGCAATTTAAAGCTGAACAGTAACCAGCTATAATGTTAGTATACATTTTCAAGGTCTAACTTTATAGCTGGTTTGAGCTTCTTATGGCATGATAGGTAACTCTGCACATGTAGCTGGTTTCTGTTAATTGCACAATACCTGTAATGCGTAGAGGGGGCCTACGATTTCTATTTCTTCTCTTAAGCCAATGTACAGAAAAACTACGTCCCAAAAACCACATGGAACTAAGTGATGCAATTAAATACATTTAGCCAACAGAATAATGATTTTGTGGCACAGATCTAGGTATTACATTCTGCAATAATTTCATATGTCAAATATTCTAAAGCAAAATAAGATAAGATTCAAGGACTGTCCATATATATGATTAGAGCCAGTTACTAGAGAGGAAGTTGGTCTATATATATTATGACATCAAGTACATACACATTCCACCTGAATATCCTTATAATCTTATTTATAAGATTTCTTTTATTTTTCTCCCATCTCAAACCCACATGTGTTCATTGCTTTCCTGTGCATCACAGCTTCACATCACAGTTAGACTGCACTAAGAGATTTTCCAACAAAATGTCACTATGCTGGAACTAAACTATTCTGCCCAAAACATCTGGGGTTTGACCATTTTAGAACAATCAGAAGACAACTTGCAGGGATCCTGTAAGATTACTGGGGATCCAACCCTCTACCTGACCCTACAGTTTTGGGGCATCCAGCCATGCCCAGGTTCCACTCCCCGTCTTTCTGAGACTCAGAGATCCCTAACTCTAACAGTCTCCACTTCCAGCTCAACAGCAAAAAGCCTACACACTCTGAAATTCCCAGATTAAGTTAGCCTCTTGGACTTCTAGGACTTACTTGCTCAGAATTTTTCAGCTTGAACTATCATTCCTGGTTTAACACCTGAAGTGATGGGAAAAAATTGTCTATTTCCCTGAAATGCTGATAGGGCTCTAAGACTCTGGCAGTGTGACAGCTTCAATGGATGGGTTTCCCAGATGCAAGAATCCATACAATTCAAGGTCTGCAGTTCTTGAGCAGCTGCCCACACAGATTGCCTGGCTATAATACGGAAGTCCTAACTGACTAGTGTTCTCAGGTTGTCTACGCTCCCTGCTGCAGAGCTAAGACAAAGCCTCAAAGTCCTGGAATGGGCTCTTCAGGTCTGTGACATCTCAAGAACTACTCTAGGCTGAGGATCCAAGGACTTTCCAAGACAGCTTGTGTCCCAGGCCACCTGATTCCCAGCGGTATGGCTGTGCAAAGCTTCGGTCATCAATTCAATTTAGAGGAGATTCAGCCCAATTTGGCGGCCGAATCTCCAAATCTAAATCAAATCAGGAGACCCATTAATCTCTCTAAATTGAATCAGAAGCCTCCGATTTGATTCAAAGAGATTTGACGATTTGGCCATAGACACAGTTTTATATGTTATTTCTACATACCTCGAGGCACCAAGTGTAGCTCATGGACACTGAGATGGTGGGGCAGATGGAGCATCTCACGGGAGTGCAAGGGGGCACCCGCTTGCTTGGCGATGAACCCAGAAGTGGACCAGAAGTACATCTGGTCCACTTCCGGGTCCACTGCGGAGCGCACGGGGGACCCCCCTGCCTTGTGACTCAGCAACTGGTGCCTCCTGGGCCTGGGGGGACCCAGAAGTGTACCAGAAATGGCTCCATCTGCCCCACCATCTCAGCGTTCACAAGCCATTCCTGGTACCTCGAGGTAGGTACAAAAAACATATAAAGCTGTGTCTATGGCTGAATCACTGATTCTCCAAATCAGAATCGAATCTTCAGATTCAGCCAAATCGAAATCAGGACAGTGATCTGAATCAGCGAATCAAATCTGTCTCCTGAATTGGGCTGAATCTGAATTGAATACTGCCCGCTTCGCCCACCCTTACCCAAATGTGACCACAGAAAATTGGGAGCTCTGAGCAGATTCTCAATTAATGTGATGATCTTATCAGCTTCATTGCTGCTCCTGGTGGTAACACTGACAATAAAGTTAATTTCACCTAGGTGACTCTGGACTTAGGGAAGACTATTTTGATTCAGAAATTTTTTTTTTTTTTTACTTTTTGATTGGTGGTAATTAAAAAAAAGGAAAAAACTGATTGAGACCACAACTGAATATCAAAAAGACATTTTTCATGAACCAGAAAACCTCTATTTTAGTTAGCTGAACAGGGACTGTGTCTATTTTATTTGTCTGGAAAGTATACGGCAAACGGGTCAAAGAAGTGCAAACTGATTCCTTTTTATCATTCATTTACGTTAAAACATCTGCAGCTGAGATTTCAATTCAAAAGAGCAGACTTTGAGAAATTAAATGAGCTTGTTACTGAAGTCAATTGTTAGGAAGAGTTCAATGTCTTAAATTTGGGAATTTCTTTAGGTCATATGTGCAAAAAGACACATAAACATATTGCTTTATAAGGCAAGGGTTTTTGGTGGTATCTTTTACTGGACCAACTGTACAGTTATGACAGCTGTTGGATAAGCTTTCAGGCATCATGTGCCCTTCCTCAAGTCTTAAGGAGAAACCAAAAACAATACTTTATCCCTACTACAAAAAGTCTTTGGAACTCATATCTCAATCAAAGGAAAACAACGTATAAATAGGGACCTACTGAGTTCACGGCAGAAGTAGAGTGCACAGTGGCTCCTTTAATCTTGCCCGTTCCACCGCATGCACTGCGCCCCTTGCTTCCCACTCCCCTGCAGGGAAGCTAAAACCATGGTTTTAAACATGGTGACTTTTTTGCCTCCCTTCCAGTCAGCAGCAAACAGCAGGGCCATCCAGGGTCCCTCAGCCAATCAGTGGTGGGAGGCAAAAACAGAGCCATTTTTAAAACCAGTTTTCATTGCCCAGCTAAGCAGAAGCAAGCTGCAAGTGGGGCACCTCCACCAAATCAGCAAGGAAACCTGCCACAGTGCACCCCACTTCCGCCATGAATTTGGTAGATCCCTGCCTATAGGGAAAGGCTTCAGAATGGCTACCCCTGTAAGGATGGGAGAAGTAAGATCCCAAAAGGAATGCCAGAAAAAGGATTTATCAGCAAAGAAAAATACATCTTGGCTGCCAGTAAGTAAAGGAATAATGTGAGAATTGTCACAAAAAAATCAGGCCCAGTTGGTTCTTGCAAGGGAAACTAAAACAAAGAGTTAAATATTCCTCAGTCACCTAACTAAATAACAAAGGGAAAGAAGCCATGAGGCAGTGATGAAATAATGATGAGGCCAAGATAAAAACAATCTAGGCATGGTTCAAGAACTTGTCTGATTTTCCAAAAAGGAAAATGATATTGAAAAAAGGGGCAAAGACAGTGTTGCTAATAGGAATGAGATACTGAAAAAGAACTTACTCCACCAGAGACTGAAGCAAAACTCAAAAGAGCTTAATGCACTCTGGACAACATCCATCTTTGAATAATGAAAGATCTGGAATATGAAACTAAAGTTTCTCAGCAAGGAGTTTTAACAAATCTATAATACATATGGTACCACGTAACTGGGGAATAGCAAAAACTGCACATATTTAATCCAGAAAAAAGTGGTCCAGGCACCATATAACCTCAATAGTGCAGTGTTTTAGAACACAGAGAAAATTATTAAAGATGACAATCATTTTCTTATTTTAGAAAATAAGATAGCAGTTTACAAAAGGTAGATTGTGCCAGACTTACCTGCTATGTTTCATTGATTAGTGATTTTCTAGACAATACAAATGCAGAAAATGGAAACCTGAATCACTAAAGCATACCCAAGTGGTATGGTGTCACATGGGAAATTAGATACCAAGGAGATCCTAAGGCGAATAAGAAATTAGCTACAGACAGTAATGGGTTGTGCTAAAAGGTAGTGGGGAGCAGTGTTACTACAGAAGTTCCCCAAGCAGTGTTGGAACTAATCTTCTTTAACATTTTCATTAACAAAGTGAGCGCACAAACATGCCAATGAAATCAGATGAAGAGAAAATTTGGAGGCAAAGATCAAAATAAACTATAGGAGGAACTGGTTGAGCTTGAGGACTAGAATAATAGAAAGGGGATGAAATCTAATAGCACAAAATGCAGTCTTATTACTTAGGGACTAACAATAACAATTTCCACTGTAAGATGGCATTAATGCTCATCAGTTGGGAAAAAAGGAGGAGGAGAAAATAAAGGAACAGGCTGTAATCAGTCAATAACAGAATGATTATGAACATAACCAAGGTGTTATGGCCATCGAAGAGGCAAATGCAGGCCTATGATATGTTGGCAAAGACATTTCCAGTTGAAGCATTAATGCCACTGTAGAAGGCATTTATCTGGATTACTGGGTACAATTGTGGTTCCCCAAGTTTGAGAGAGAAACTGAAATAGAAACATGTGTAGAGAGAGTTTACAAAGATGATAAAGAAAAGGGACGGCTTATTTGACAAGAGGAGACTAAAGGCATATGTCCACTGTGACAGCACTGAGCTGACAATGAGACGCCTCTGACAACATCCCACCCACTCACTACTGCTGATATGTTCCAGACTGCAAAGAGCACCTGTGAGTCTGCTCAGGGGGATTCCTCTGTGCCAGCTCTCAAGACCTTGGTTTCTGGTGTGCTTGAGAGCAGCCACTGGGAAAGACAGCAAAGCATTCTTGCCAGCATACTTTGAGATTTGACTGTGGCACTAGTGGGAAGGATGGGTGTGCTCAGGGCCATTCTGGCTGTAGTGTACTGCCACCATGGTGTAAACAAGCTTTGTGAGGGAGCTTGATTCATTTAGCTCAGTAAAATGAAAGATGACAGGGGATACGATTGCTCTCTGCAAAAAGATTAAGAGAATAAACACCAGGGAGGATACCTTCCTAAGCTAAAATACAATGCCAGCCCATAAATAAATTGGTATAAATTACTCATCTGGAATTTTAGGCTAGAAATTGGTTTCTAACCACAACAGTGAGGGTTAGGAAAAGCCATCCAACATAAGTGGTGGAGGCATAAATACTAAATAGCTTTGAAAAGCTTGATCAGCTTATGAACAGCTTTATGTGAAATGATTGCTTATAATGAGAATGTATTCTGATCTAGAGGGTGCTGTCCAGTTTTACGTTATTGAACATCAATACATTAGTCAACATCTATTGGGTTGGCTCCTTTTAAGCTAACATTTGCAGAGACTGGCTGGTTAGGGTAGCAAACATTTTGTGTCTTAGACATCAGTATAAATATTCTTTAATCTCAAAACTGTTATTACAAACATGACAGACTATACTGCATGATCTGATACACAAAAGGCAATGTATAAATAACTCAGAAGAAAAAAAAGTAGTACACTGCAAAGAATTCAACTACAGCCATTATTTAATGCACATTTCTAAAAAAAATTCAGATTCTGAAAAACAAACAATACCTGGGAATGTCCTCTTGTAATGAAAAAGGCGAGTTAGAGGTTACAAAAAGAGGAAATTGTTGGAAGGGAAAAAATCTGTACACAACTGAACCACTGTAACATGACTGATAATTAATATCAAGATAGCCTTGTTTTCTTATACAAAGAAGCATTTACGATAAAGAGAACATTTTCTAAAAAGTTTAACTTCATTAATAAAATTGTTTCAAAGACTTTAGTGACTGAACAAAAGTCCCTGTAATAAGTCTCTTTTTTGTGAACTACTTTTCTTCACAATGGTGAACACCTGCAGCAACCACATGTGGATTGCTATGAGGAATGAGCAGATGGGGAGGCTTTGCAAGCCACCTGATTATTTCTGAATGCCAGCTACCTACATCCTGTGAACTGGACCCACCTCATGAAGAGATCTGATCCAGCTCACACCAGGTTGGGGAAATCAGCAGCACACTCCAACCAGAGCAGGAGTGGAGGCGTCCCCAGGGTCCTACTGCCATGTTCAGTTTATTCCCTCTACTGCAGAACAGGAGGTGTCCCCAGGGTCCCATTACCATTAACTGCCTTTTTCCATCTATTGGTTCCACAATATCTGCTGATCAGGGAAAGGGCCATGAGAAGGGCACAGGAAGAGGGATGCAGAGATTGGTGGCCCATAGCAGGGCCCAGGTTGTAAGCAGCAGTCTGCAATAGCCCCAAAAGGTTAACAACCTCTGCTTTAGCCCACAGTTTTGGCTAGCTAACTAAACAGTCCTTATTTCACATAAGAGGGCTAAACTCAGAAACCTGATGGGCACTATCCCCTGGGAGGCAAATCTGAGAGGAAAAGGAGTCCAGGAGAGCTGACTGTACCTTTCACAAGGCTCTTGTAAGGGTGCAGGAGAAAGCTATTCTGATGAGGCAGAAGAACAGGAAATGCAATACGAGAACTGCCTGGCTAGACAGCAATCTCTTCAAGAAGTTGAAACTCAAAAAATAATCCTATAAAAAGTGGAAACTTGGTCATATATAGTATAGGGAAGAGTATAAGATTATTGCACAAACATGCAGGGGGAAAGGTTGCAGGGATTAGGAAGGCCAAGGCACAATTTTAGATGCAGATGGCAAAGGACATAAAAGGCAATCAAAATGGATTCTATAGGTATGTCCAAAGTAAGAGGAAGACCAGGGATTCCATAGGCCCTTTACAAAATGGGAAGACCAATCTAGCCATGGAAAATGCAGGAATTGCTGAAATATTTAATGCCTTTTTAATTTCAGTTTTCACAAATAGAGAAAGCTACCAGGTGATGAATGTAGCAGGCAGCAGAGATAAGGAAGGAAAAAAACAGCCTAGCGTAATGGCAAAATAGGTTAGGGATTACTTAGAGAAGCTAGATACTTTCAAGTTGACAAGGCCAGATGAAATGCACCTAAGGGTACTGAAGGAATTGGCTGAGGTAATTTCGGAGCTATTGACCATCATTTCTGTTAACTCATGGAGGTCGGATGAGGTCCCAGATGACTGGCAAAGGGTAAACAAAGCTCCCATCTTTAACAAGGGGAAGAGAGAGGATCCAGGGGATTACAGATGAGTCAGCTTGACCTCAGTAACTGGAAAGATCATGGAGCAGGTTCTCAAGGAATCTACTATGAAGCACCTGGAGGAGAACAAGGCGATCAGGAACAGCCAGCATAGATTCACCAAGAGCAAGTCCTGCCTGTCTGATTTCCTTCTGTGATAAAATGACAGGATATATGGATGAGGGGAGATCAGTGGATGTGATATACCTTGATTTTAGCAAAACTTCTGGCACTGCCCCCCTTGACATTTTCGCTAAATGTCACACTAAGGAAATACAGGTGAGGAGAAAGTACTGTATGGTGGATTTATAAATGGCTATCATCGTACTTGGCAAGTAGCTCTCAATGGCTGAATAGCTAGTTGAGAAAAGGCATCAAGTGGATCACGATGGGTCTGCCTTGGTTCTTTTATTGTTCAATATCTTCATTAATAATTTGGATGGTGGGATTCATTGCATGCTTATTAAATTTGTGGATAACACCAAGTTAGGTGGAACTGTGGCTGCTCCCGAGGGCAGGGCTAGGATCAAGAATGACCTGGATAGACTGTTGAAATGGTCCACAATCAACAAAGTGATATGCAACAAGGACAAGTACAAAGTCCTGCACTTGGGGCAGAATAACCACATACACAAATATAGACTAGGGAATGACTGGCTTGGTTGTGGTACTGCAGAGAAGGACCTAGGGTTCTGGTGGACAATAAGGCATGTATGAGCTAACAGTTTACTCATGTTGCAAAAAAGGCCAATAGCATACTGGGTTGTATTAACAGGAATGTCACTTGCAAATCAAGGGAAGTAATTCTTCCATTCTATTCAGTACTGAAAGGGCTAAAAGAACAAGGGTTACGTAGCCTGGAGAAGAGAAGACTGAGGTGGGATTTGATAACAGTTTTCAAATATCTGAAGGGTGATTAGAAAGGATGGAGATGGGCTTTTCTCGGTGTCTGTAGGGGACAGGACTAGGAGCAGCAGCCTCAAGCTGCAGCAGGGGAAATTTACATCAGAGATCAGGACGGTGGTCAAGCACTGGAACAGGCTACCTAGAGAAATTCTGGAATCTCCATCCTACGACTCACATCAATGATCAAGTAAAACACTTCTTGCTTTTTGAGGATCAAAATCTAAAATTTAAACAAGAAAAATTAAGGTTAATTCTAACTTCATTAATGTGAAATTCTCACTTTACTTAAGTCAGTAGCAAACCTCCCATTGACTTCAATAGGATCAGGATTTTACTCATGATATTTAGAATCTGATACTTGATTTCCACATTCATTCAAATTATACCACTGATGAATAACAGAATAAAAGTAGGTGAAATTATGTTTATTAAAGAACTGACAACTTACAATACATAACTGGTTTGGGTTGTTAAAAAATGAAGAATGTGTCTAGAAAAACAGTAATGTGGAATTGAAGCACATCTGGGGTCAAACATTTTCTGTTGTTCCTGTTATGTGATTAGATAAAAGTTTCCTTTGAACACAAAATAACTGAAAAAAGAGAAAAAGGCTTAACATAGTGACTTGCTTACTATTTGTGGACTACACAATTGTTTAAAGATTTTTGTCAGAAGAATTAACATTTACATAATGTATCTGGATTAAAACATTTATGCTAATACCATGTGCGGACAGAGTTTAGGCAAGCATGAAATCGAATTAAAAGAACAAATATGGTAATAGATAAAAATCTTTCTTTTGTTTGAAATCAGATTGGCAACATGCATTCAGACTACTAGTCATTAAAAATATTTTTTGAGCATTCTCAAGTGTAATGTAATGTCCAAACAGCAGGTAGGCTGCATTTTTTAGACTCATTGTATACTGCAACTCATGTCCTCCCCTTATCTTACAATATTGGAGAAAAATATATATATTTTAAAAAACAACACTTTGGGGATGAAAAACTAATCATAGCTAAGTCAATGGCAAAACTCCTGACTTCAGCTGGGTCATAGTGGGCACATCTACATGTTTATTAATGTGCTTTAGGTTAATTAATTAATTAATTAATGTGCTCCATTGTGAGGTAGTAGAAAAAGGTGCATTTGCCTATTTTCATGCACATTAGCCGGAGAGCATTTTTTTGGTGACTCTAATGCACATTAGAATAGGCTAATACACATTAAAGCACATGTGTAGTTATGCCCGTGTGTGCACAAAATATATTTACATTGATTGCAATATATCGAAATAGGGTTTAGGCAATTCAGAATTTGTATGCATTTCCAGGTCTTTCAGACAAAAGGTCAGGCAGAGTGGCACATTAGAGACTAACTGTTAAAAGAGGCATGAGCTTTTGTAGGCAACAAACCACTTCATCAGATACTATGAAACTAAAACAGGATTCTTAACTATTTTCCAACCTGAAACTTAATTCAAGGACTAATACACTAGCTGTGACTCATATGAAACAATGCACATTTAGGCTAGGGGTGGAAGACTGAAGTCACAACGTATAATTTGGAAGGTTGTTATATGACAGACCAATCTAGACAATGTTTTCTACAAATGTTACATTATCATACAAAAAGCCAAAGAACAGGCAACTTTCTGCTGCACCCTCTAGCAAACATTATTTACTATCATCATAACATTAAGGTCCCAAAGAAAACAGTACAGTTAATTTCGTCAGTTTAGACCTACAATCAACAAAATGTTTACAGTACCACTTTTTCATTTGTAACTGCTACCTAAGCTTTGCCATGCCTCTGCTAACTTGAGGAATTGCAGTTTTGCCGCAGTAAAGAAGCAGGTATGCAATTTGCCTGTCACTTCACAAATATATGAGCAATATTACAGAATACTGAAGCGTCTCCACAATTGGAGGAATAATTTCTTAATCTCTTAGCTATACAAGATAATGGTGCAAACCGTTTAACAAGGATTGGTGTGGAGGATCTGCCAAGGCTGATACTTATAAACAGTGTATGAATTAAATTTTTGCATGTATTTCAGAATGGCTAGTATCTTATTTTCCTGAAGAGTGCACACAGAAATTATGTTTGGCATGTGATCGGACCCCTGAAAGTGCTCTACAGCCATGCCATGACATGACATGTGTATACCTGCAGAGCACTTTTAAAGTGGCCAATCCTATGACAAATTAACCTTCATCAAATGAGGGATCAGATGAAGGCGCTCCACTTCAGAGCCTTAGGGAATTTGTGATCCCTAAGATTAATTTGTGGCATGATTGGGGCTGTCTGCCAGCTGGGGTTTGCCTGGCCTAAGCTTAAGAGGGGACGGGTGGATTTGAACCTCCCCTCCTTGCAGCCTCCCTCAGCCCTTCCCCCTCCAGCTCTAACTGGGCCAAGTACCATGAGTTAGAATGAGTTCAGTACATCTGTCAGCACCCAAAGGTGTCAGGGTTCTGGTCTTATGAAAATGGTACAGTTATCCTTTAATATGCATGGAGTATAATTGGCATCAGGGCAGCTGCTATGGCTCTGACTTGGACTTAGTGTGGGGATTCCCTTCTTTGGGAAACTCTTCCACATTTATTTTATTACAACTCCACATGGACTGAGGAAAGCACAAGAGTACCTGGTCAGGAGGAAACCAGCCCCCAGGAAGGCAAGGACTTTCCTAGTAACAGGTAGAATTAAAAGTGGTAGCAAAAGGCCATAGACATACCTTGTTAGTATCCACTTACCATCTCCCTTCACTCTGTAGGAAGATTTCTGCAACTGGTACCTGGGATAATTTTGGGATCTGTTTACTGGTTGGTCACTGCAATATCCTCAAGCTTCTCCCCCATCTTAATTTCTCCTCTGTTGGTCCCATCCTACCTGCCCTGCACTTTCTTTACTATCCTCACAGCTTCAACTCTTTCTTTTCCCCACTCTCCTTCCAGTAGGCATCCCATGAAGGTTTGTGTCCTTTCACCTAATTATTCACCCTTTTCTGTCAATATCTCACATTTTAGAATTTATTATTTTTATGTGGGAGCCATTTGCAGCAAAAATTTCAAAAGTGCCTTCAGGCAGATGCTAACTCCTGTTGAATCCAATGACAGCTTAGGTACCAATATAGTTTTGAGAATCCCAATAAGTGTCCATCTTCATCCTTAGGTGCCTATATACTTCTAAAAAGTCTAACCTTGTGTGACTTAGGCTCCTAAGATATATATATATATTTTTAAATGTAGGTATTTAGGAACCCAAATCCCATTGGGAGTCCATGGGTTTCTTTTGAACTTAACTGACTTTTGAAAATGACATTTAGCCACCTAAGTTGCTTCATCCTAGGGCCACAAAGGGTCTGTTTATGCAGCCTAAGCAACCACTGTCTAATGGAAAAATGCATAAAGAGTCCTGGGAGTATGAACCAGAATCTAAGTCTTTCCCTCCCCCTTTCCAGATGAGTGCCCTCATCACTTGGTTACATGGTCAGTATCCCTCTTGTACTTTCTCTTGAATTCTTGCCTGGATAATAGTACAGCTTCAGCTTCAACCAAAGAGGGGCAAAGTGCTTTTAGCATAGCTATGAAAGCACGGTTCTCTGATCTCTCAGGTTAAGGAGGTCCCAGCTCTCTCATTGCTTGGGCAAGACTTTTTATCCTTTCGCTCAGTGGTTCTCAATCTTTTTTTTACCAGGACCCATTTGTAAACATTGATGGCCAGTCCCAACCCAGAACCTCTCACTCCCAACCCTCTCCCCTCTGCACCCAGACTCCAGTCCCCTAGTGTGTGGGGCAAAGGATGGGTGTGTGGGGCAGGCAGGGGCCCAAGCCATGGTTCCCCATGTTTTTCTCCTTTAAAGGAGAATCCATTTTTAAAGTTTGTTGATCCATTTTTTAAGCTTGTCTGTGACCCTTTCATATATTCTTGTGACCCACTTTTGGGTTGCGGCCCATGGGTTGAGAAACACAGCTAGCTACTATAGATTCATAGATTCTCGGGTCGGAAGGGACCTCAATAGGTCGAGTCCGACCCCCTGCATATGCAGGAAATGTCTAGATGTCCCCAGCTAGATGCCTATCTAACCTCCTCTTGAAGACCCTCAGGGTAGGGGAGAGTACCACCTTCCTTGGGAGCCCGTTCCAGACCTTGGCCACTCGAACTGTGAAGAAGTTCTTCCTAATGTCTAGTCTAAATCTGCTCTCTGCTAGCTTGTGGCCATTATTTCTTGTAACCCCCAGGGGCGCCTTGGTGAATAAAACCTCACCAATTCCCTTCTGTGCCCCCGTATATAAGACCAGTGATTGGTTCTTAAAAGAAAAGTGATCCTGTCATACACAAAGTAAAGACTGATGTGTCTGAACCCCAGAAGGGTTCAGAGACATGAATCCCAATCTCAGGCACCTAATTCAGGGCTACAGATAGGCACCTAAGTCTAGTGGATTTCAGAGATGAACCCTTCCTCAGCATTTCCTACCTTAGGGTATAGTCATTCTGCACTCTTTAGGAGATACCTAGGACTGAGATTCACAAAGGCATGTAACTCTCTCCACTGTGCCACGGATATGTAAACAATTCACACTTAAACAACTCAGTATTAAACAACTCCCCACAACTTAAAAACCAAACTCAGTTTTGTTAATTCCATTATAATATTTAAATCCTTTGGGGAATCTAGGCCTTAGCCATAGGGATGTGTAATTTATGAATCCCAAGTGTCCTTATGCATGAGACAGGTGTTGAAATAGTCAGATGGCAAGGTGGCAGCAGTTCTAGGCAGGTGCAGTAGTACTAAGCAAATGTACAGGTCAAAATGTAGGATCTGTCAGGGCTTGCCTATATTGCCGTAGCAACAAGTCCTGCTGAGAGCACACCAGTCCCAGAAGGTTGCCAGTGAAGCTACTTTGGCCTTATCTCCAGTGCTGCTCTCAAGCTGTCAGTGTGCCTGAGAGTAGCCACTGGGAATGCCTTGGACCAGCCTTATGGGGAAACATGGGAATGGGAGCCAGCAACAAGGTCTGGAGTATTCAGGTAGAGAGAGCATGCTCATCCCCATACTCCCCAACATCAGCATCCAGGGCAATATAGGCAAGCCCTTGAATGCCTAAGTGGTTACACAAGCTTTAGGAGTTGCTTGTTTGGTTTTAGGAAACTAAATTCTGCCTTGCACTTCAGAAAGCAATTTTGGGGGATGGACTGCAGGCATTTTGGA